ATCAAGTCATTCTTGCTGGTAGGACACTACTCTGACACTTGTGAGGGCTTTCCAGAGGGATGAGGAGTGAAACTCTGACATCACCTCGTGTTCTCTGAGGAAATACCTGTGAAAAAAAAAAGCATAGCAACAAGGGTGTCTATTGCGGTAGAACCTACTGGGTGAAGTCCCAGGCAAAGCTACTGCTTGTAGGGATCACTGACCCTCTAATTAGGATGGAGAATCCCTGGTGAGGGATCCAGACAAGCTATATTATACTTTAGCCACTTACTCACAGAAGAATGATCAAGAATGCAGACAATACAGAATTTAAAAATATATATCAAGTAGTATTATTAAAAATGGAATCTATAAGGCAAGATATAGCCAACCTAACAAGACAAAAGAAGAATATTTATTACAAGGATCTTATCTTGAAGAATTTATTCTACTTCCACAAGGAGAAAACATAGTTTCTTTTATTACTTTAACTTTATTTGTACTCTTCTTTAGTTGATCAGGAGGTTGGGTAGAAGTGCAAGACATGGCTACAGAAACAATTTCAGAGGAGCAGGCAGATTAAACCAGGTAGATAGGCTACCGAGGGGTTTCATTTCTCCATGCTACAGGTTGCCAAAAAGCAATCATATGAGGAGGGAGTGCTGTGGCATTTTTAAATAGAAACGAAATACCAGAACAGTTACAAATAGAAAGCACGCCAGAATAGGGAGCCTACACTAAAGCAACTGCCTTGCTAGTCAGGAGTAAGGACGTGAGGTATGAAGTTATGTGAGCTGATGGGAATGAGAAGACAGCAAAGTAGACCCATCTACCTCAGTCATTTCATTCTTCTCTGTTGAATTCATGCTGAGTTGCCAGATTAGAACTTCAGATGTTATGGGAAAAAAAAGAAAAAAAGAAAAGGATTGTGCTGCTTTATCTTTATGTCGTTATAAACTGCACATAAAGAGAGAAGCTAAGGTTTGGAAGTATTATTTGTTTGCTTGGTTGGTTTGGTTTGTTTGTTTATGTCCTTAAATAAACAAAATCCACTTGCAGGAAAACAAAACAAAACAAAACAATAATATTGACACTGCTTTGTTAACACTGGCCCTAAGATATTTTTTACTTTATGAATGCTAACTGCTTTCTTTGTAGCAACGGTAATGCTGACTGTCATAAAAGCCTTGGGGAAAGACATTTGCAGTGATTCCTACATGGAATAGCAGTGACATATATATGTTCCAATTGCACTTTAGTAGAAATAAAAACCTGAAAAAAAGGCTTTGAAATTTTCCCATTGTGCTCTGTGCTTCAAAATTAGAAGTAAGGTCAGAGGAATGGAAGGCAAAGTATAAATACAATACAGCATTCTTCCTTGACCACTTTGCAGGAGAAAACTGAAGGGTTAATTTTAGCCAAGACTAAAAGAAGCTCAGCCAGTATTTCCAGAACAGCTTTCCTACTACTGTTTCTTTCCTAATCATCTGGCTTTCAGAGCATCCTGATATTAATCGCAGTTGAAGGTGGAAGTTGTGGTGGCCTAGCAGGGTGGCTAGGAAAGTCATTCATTTGTTTTTCTCGCTTCCTTATGAGCTCAAAAAGAGGTTGTCTTTACTTGGCATGCAAACAGACTAAGCAGCTTTTATTTTACCTGTAAAGGGCTTAAAACAGATGTGCAGAGAGGAGTTGCCATTCTGCGAAAGATTTTGACATTTCAAAATCTGGCTTCATTCTGAATTGGAGGGGAAATAAACCCCACAGTAAATTCCATTTCATTCATCCTTTGCTTCCAGAACCTAAGAAAACATTCTGCTAAGACTATTTTGAATCCTTTAAGTGTCTGATAGCACTTACAGCAGAATAATAAAAAGACCTGAAAGGTATATTCCAAAACAAGAACTTCCTGTTAAATATTATTTTAATTCTTTAATCCCATAATTTTACTCTGAAGACAACCTGCTTTATATTTCAATTTCAGGAGGAAGATAACTGATCTTTCTGACAGCTCCAGTTAAATTTTGCTAGTATGTGGTCCTGACCATGCAGCATATCAGCCTGTGTCTTTAGCTTGCATAAAGAAAAAGATACTAATAAATTTTTTTTCTAATGAAATAATGAAATATTTCCCCATAGTTTAATTTCTGTTCTTTACATACCTCTCAAAAGACATAATCTTATCCTCACAGGACAGCTTCTAGCTATAGAAAATTTAAAAGCATGCACCACACATTTAACTGAGGTCAAACTCAGAGATTCTGACTTACAGATACTCACGATACCTGCCATTTTGAAGTTCAAAGTAAATTTAAATATTATAAAGGAAGTTCTTGGCAGTTCTCCAAGCAAAGTGAGCTGTTCCTCCCTCAGACCCTTTCCTCCTTCAGGACTTTGAAACAAGCTACCCAGCAAGAGGTTAGCAATAATGAAGGGGATATATGTGATAGCTTGTGATTTGTTTCTGTGTCTGTTCCAGCTGTCCCCTTGGCCACGTGAACTTTGAAGCTAAAACATCCGGTTATTTTTGTCATTGAGCTGAACTGGGATCACCTCTGTATACATGCCCAAAATACTCTCCCTTACTGCTCTGAGCCATGGTGTCTGCTTACAATTAATGTGCCACTCATAGTCTTAGTAAGTGTTTTTATAGTTAGAGACATCACCCTATTGTAGATAAAGGCATCTAGCCTACCTTAGTTGAAAGAAGAGAGGTAAGCATCATCAAGAGTGATAAAAGAGGAAATGCTGATGCTTTGAAGAAGTGTACTCAGATCAAATTCTGCAGGAAGCAAGCAGTTGTAGCAGTAGTTTGCATACTCTGCAGCTACTTATTAACAGGGCAGCCATTATGCAAATCAGACTTCCCTTGTCAAATGCTGGCACTCTGCATGAAAGAGAAATAACCACATAGTTTTGAGTTAATAAATGTATGGCTGTGTAATGCTCTGCCAGCTAACAAAATGTGATTTCAGCATTCTTAAATATTGCAGACAGAGAGCGCTCTCAAAGTAATGACTGAGTGCTAACTGAGGAGCCCGAGGGGTTCCTATTAGCTAAGAACAGGATGTATTTAACAATAGGTCTCTTCCTTTGTCATCTTTCCAAAAATGACAAACAAAGAGACGCATGCTAAAAAGTGACACAACTCGGAACTGGCTCTTTTGATTTCTACTTACGAGAACAACAAAATCACCAGTACACGTGGCTTATCTTTGTACAGAGATCCTGTTTTCCTCCTGGATTGGGTGGAACTTTGACCTAGATGACAAAGTGACCTCCGCCACACTTTCCAACCAGTTACCCCTCTTTTTGCTGCCTGCTCCAGTCACCTCACCACCACTTCCCAGCACTTAGTTTGCTGTTTTTCACCCCACATAACCTCGCATGACTCCTCTTGTGAAAACTCAGCCATTAAGTTATGACACAATGTGACAGCAAGGCAGTATGCTGCCCCACACCATCACATGGTAACTGTGGTGAGAAGGGAGCTCTGGAGATCCTTTGGTCCACTCCCTGCTCAAGCAGGACTGGCAGCCCCCTAGTCTTTGCCTGTAAGCACTATAAAACAGGCATAAGTGCTGCCACAGAGAAGCAAAGTACTCCTTGCTTTTAGCAAGGCAACCTGCCCACAACATCTGCAAGGCAAAGTGACCGGTAACTCCCTTAGTGACCGTAACTCCTTTAATGACTAGTAACTTCCTTAGCCAGGGAAGGTTTCTAGAGTGTTTACCTAAAGAATAACAAAGGATTGCTTTGCACTGAGGTAAATAAAATAAATTTATGAGAATTATTGATCTAGCATACTGCAGCTCACATATGAAACACAGTGAAATGTCCAAGTGGAGTTGGTAATGAGTAATGTCACCAAGGTGTACCAGTAGTGTCCTGGGACCAGAATTCTTTATCAGTGATGTAGACAGAGGGATTTAGTGTACTTTCAGCAAGTTTGTGGACAACACCACGCTGAATGGTGCATTTGATACAATAGAAGGAAGGGGTGGCATCCAAAGGGACCTTGATACACTCAAAAGGTGGGCCCATGTGAACCTAATGAAGTCCAGCAAGGCCAAGTGCAAGATGTTGCAGCTGGGTCTGGGCAATGCAAGATGTGTGTACACACCGCGACAATAATTCCTTGAGATCAACCCTGCTGAAAGAGACTTAGGGGTGCTGGTGGATGAAAAACGTAACATGAGCCAGAAGCATGTTCTTGCAGCCTGGACATCCAGCGGTACACTGGGCTGCATCACAAGAGGAGTGGCCAGCAGGGAGAAAGAGGGGATTGTCTTCCTCTGCTCTGCCCTCATTAGGCCCCATATGGATACTGTGTCCAGGCCTGGGACCCCAGCACAAGAAGAATGTGGAGCTGTTGGAGAGAGTCCAGAGGAGAGCACAAATCTGACCAGAGGGTTGGAGCACCCCTCCTGTGGAGACAGGCTTTGCGAACTGGGCTTGAGCAGCCTGGAGAAGAGAGAGCTCCAGGGAGACTTCATTGCAGTGTTCCAGTACTTGGAGGGAACATTTAAGCAGAAGAGGGAGTGACTTTTTACACTGGTAGACAGTGATGGGACAAGGGAGAGTGTCTTTAAACTTAGATGGGACGATTCAGATTAGATGCTGGGGGAAATCTTTCCCCAGAGGGCGGTGAGGCGCTGGCACAGCTGCCCAGAGAAGCTGTGGTGCCCCATCCCTGGAGGCGCTCAAGGCCAGGTTGGATGGGGCCCTGGGCAGCTGAGCTGGTGGGGGAAAGCCCTGCCCACGGCAGGGGTTGGGGTGGGTGGGCTTTGAGGTCCCCTCCGACCCAAACCATTCTGTGATTCTGTTATTCTCTGATCTTCCTATTGTCTGATTTTCTGATGTTATGAAAATGGGACGTGTAAAATGCTGAAGAAGTCTCTTCCATACAGCTAGTATTGCTGCGGGGCGGGGCCGTGCCCTCAGCACCCGGGACAGCAGGCGCGCCCCCGCCGGCCATAACGGTAACACAAGGCGCGTGCCCGGTTGCCATCGCGACGGCTGCGACGCGGTGGCAGCAGCATGTCGGACCTAAGCGACGAGGAGGCCGAGGAGGAGGCCGAGGCTTACCTGGGGGTTCGGCGGGGAGCGGGGCCTCGGGGCAGGGTGGGGAAGGGAAGAGAGACGTTACTGCTTATGGGGGCTTTGATACTGTAGGCCCCATGGGGAGATCACAGAGTGCTACATCAGTGGGTATGGTAGATGCAGAGGGGGGCGCTGAGCTATTTTGGCTGGAACCTATTTTCTTCACAAGTCATCCACTCTTCCCACCACTGAGTCAAGGAAGGGAGGAAGGGCTCAGTGTGCTGGGATCTGAGGGGAGAGCTTCTGCAGAGCCCTCCTGCGTGCTCTGCTTGGAGCAAAGCTGGAGCACCTCTGAGCAAACGTGGCTTCCTCTAATTAGGTTGGATTCAAGCAGGTCTATCGCTCTTAAACGATTTTTCTAATTGCATTCGATTAGGAGTACGATGGTGAGCGCAATTCTGAAGGTGAACGGCATGGACGTGGGAAAGCAGAGCTGCCCAATGGTGATACATACGAGGGTGAATATGAGCACAGTCTCAGAAACGGGCAGGTGAGACAGTGACCAGGCAGTGGCTTTGTGCTTGTGTTTCTGAAGTTCTGTGAGTCTCAGCACTGTACTGAAATAGCGAGAACTGACAAGTCTTTTATCTATACCAAATATCTTTCAGGGGACCTACAGATTTAAAACTGGTGCTTACTACATTGGAGAATATCTTCAAAATAAAAAGCATGGCCATGGTACTTTTTATTATCCAGATGGATCAAAATATGAAGGTAAATACTGAACACAGTTGCAAAGATTTCTGTAATTAAAAAGACATGTTTCTCCAACTCCTAGAATGCAGGAAGATAGCAAAGTGAAGATTATTTTAAAAAGATAAATTTGCTACAAAACATTTTCCTGTTATTCCTTTTTTACTAGGAGCTCTGAGAGCAGCTTTATTTATTTAGTTAGTTAGGGGATTTACTTGGAATATTGTGAGAAGTGTGGTATTTATTAGCAATTTGTTCTAGACGTGTCCTTATTTCAAGTGAGGTATTACAGGTGCTGAGAAATGCCAAGCATCGTGTCTAATCTGGTACAATCTTGATAGAAGAGAGTATAATTGCTTATATCTAATCATCTTCATGATGATTAGAATTGCTTTGTTCAGTATAGAATCATATAATTATTTGAGATGGAAGGGTTCCCTAAAGGTCATTTAGTCCCCTGCAATAAAAAGGGACACCGACAGCTACATCAGGTTGCTCAGAGCCCTGTCCAGCTTAACACTGAATGTGTCCAGGGATGAGGCATCCAGCACCTCTCTAGGCAGACTGTTCCGGTGCCTCATTGTAAAAAATGTCTTCCTTATATGCAGTTTAAATCTATTTTGTAGTTTGAAACAATTTACCCTCATCCTGTCACAACAGACCCTACTAAAGTGTCTGTCTCTCATTCTATTTCCCTTCTTCCAGAAGAATACCTAAAACTCTCCAAATATCAGTTAGGCTTCAAGGAACAGTCTTTGTCCTTTAAAGAAGGCAAGAAGGAGCCTTCACACTGTAAGAGCTAGAAGCACAGAGCAAAAAGAGCAGCCCAGTTATTGCTTATTGGATAATATTCATCTGTAATGTATTTTTATTATTTTTTTTAAGTTTGAATAGAGTAGTAATTAAGGCACAAAATCTAGCATTCTTTTGCATTTATAAGCATGCTGGCTGAAAGGACAGTTTTAGCGAATTAGCCAAACTAAACAAGAACTCATTTTGATTTTAAGTGGAGGTGTCACACGCAGGTAGCTGAAAAAGTATGTGAGGAGAGGGACAGACAGAGGAAAAAAAAAATAAAGAGCAAGGGCTTAGAATAAAGAAGGGTTTGATCAAGAAAAGAATGAGAGGGGCCCGGAATGAAGTGGCAGGGAACTAGGGAGAAATATTATGTCTACCTTTGAGTATAGTTACCCATACTGTCTTTTTCAAAGTGATCTCAAAATTGTTCTAGAGAGAGAAATGAGGAACTCCTGTTTGTGATAGCATGTCAGCTGAAACCTACAGATGGAAGGAAAGGAAAAAAAGTATAAAAAAGGAAAAAGTATATAACAGGATATGTCTCAAGCCAGAACTAGTATAGTTGACATGATAAATACTATGGTCCTCTGTTTTCATATTGTCTTCTTTGTATTGATTTTATAACTGTTGTTTAAGAAATAACAAATGAGGGAAAAAAAGAAAAAAAAAAGGCAGTGGAGGTGAATAAGCAGGAAACTTGCAAACACAGATAACAGAACTTGGAAATTCTGTGTATGGGGAAGCCTTTCCTTGGTAACAAAGAGCAAAGAAGATAGTATCTGAATAGAGGAAGAAAACCATGTCAAGTGAGAACATTAGCACTTTCTTTGCCTCTAACATAGAATTCGTTCATACAATTATACTCAGATCAGAAAGTGGAAAGTTACTGGATAGTCTTGCATATGGAACTGCTATCCACCCTGTTGCATCTAATGATGGCTGTCAGAGTTCTCATCCATTTGTCAGATGTATAATAAATCATCCTTTTCTTTGCCAGAGTACTTCAGTACTTCTTTGGTATAATCTGTGTTGATAGTAACAGTGACATACTTAAACCCTGATAGGCAAATCAGATATGCTTAGAGTTTAATTGACAGATGTTTCCCATTCACTTGAGATTTTTTGTGTTCAGTAGGAGAGAGCAGGATTTGTTTGTTTTTGAAGTCAGTCATAATGGTGTTGTAGTTTTCTTTTCCTTCTCTAATGACGTGTATTCTCCACTCAGCTAAATTAATGAATGATGATTTTACAAACAGACCATTATATCACACAATTAAATATACCACATCTCACTAAGTTATTGGTATGTTCTCATTAAAGGAAGCTGGGTAGATGATCGGAGACATGGCTATGGAGAATATACGTACGCAAATGGAGACACCTATGCTGGAGAATGGTTTAACGACAATAGGTTTGTTTCATTCTTATGATGATGGTTGAAGTCATCCTCTGCAGCATCACAGTATGATGGCTATTTCAAAGTGTGGCTGACTGCAGCTAATCAAGTGCTACTGGATGGCATTTGCAAGTTAGCCCAACTTCAGCCATTTCAGCCACTTAAAAAATACAGTTTTAATACCTTAAGTATAACAACATCCTATGTTCTTCATATTCCATAAAATAAAACAATTTTTCTTCTCCCTAGGCATGGACAAGGTACATACATCTATAAAGAGACTGGATCTATGTATGTTGGTGGTTGGGTAAATGGAATACAGGAAGGAGAAGCAGAGCTTATCCACCTAAATCACAGATACAGGGGCAAGTTTTTGGATGGAATTGTAAGTGTGCTAGAAAATGCTCAATTAATTTGAACAGTTAGCATAAAACTTTCTTAATAGGATTTATTTGCACTTAAAATGACAAGCTAGATCCTGTTCTTGTGTAGTATTTCTTGTACCATCAATGTAGCAGATGAAACTGAGTTGATCTGCAAGGCAGAAAGCCAAGTGTCTGTAAATTTGCTTTCAAACAGTATTACAGAATCACAGAATGGTTAAGGTTGGAAGAGACCCGTAGAGATAATCTCCAACCCCCTGATCAAACTGGGACACCCAGAGTAGGTTGCCCAGAACTGTGTCCAGGCACGTTTTGAAGATCTCCAACAAGGGAGATTTTACAGCCTATCTGGCAACCTCTGTCAATGCTCTATTACCTTCACAGCACAGAAGTGCTTCCTGGTGTTCCAATGGAACCTCTTGTGTTCAATTTTGTGCACATTGACTCTTGTTCTGGCACTATGCACCGCTGAGAAGAGCATCACTCCATCCTCTTTGCATCCTCCCTTCAGATAGTTATAGACACTGATGGGATTCCCCCTGAGCTTCCTCTTCCTCAAGCTGAACAGTCCCAGCTCTTTCAGCCACTTCTCACAGGGGAAGTGCTTCCGTCCCTTGTTCATCTTTGTGACCCTCTGTTGGACTTACACCTGCATGTCCATGTCTCTGTAGTACAGTATTGTTATTGACTAATGTATGAATTTTGTAGTAAAGCACATTTTATATTCACACGTGTAGAATTTCTTAATTTTATAGTTCTACTGATTTCTTTGCATCTCTTTGTGCAGCCTGTCGGTCGTGGCAAATATATCTTTGACATTGGATGTGAACAGCATGGTGAATACATACAGTCAGAGGAGGTAAAAAAAAAATATGTAATGGTGTACTTCGTATCAAATAATTCAGTAACTACTGTTGATTATCATATAAAATACTTTAACATCAGTACATATAGGGTATCCTAGATCTATACAGTCAAAAAAGGGTACAAACTTGTGGTTTCTTCAATACTAAATAAGGTTTCATTCTGCTTTTTAAATTTATCTTCTCCACTGTGTAAGCTTAGACAACTATATGATGTGATTTTTGCCCTGCTTGCAGACAGGAATCTGTCTGCTTTCTTCTTAAACTTCAGAAGAATCAGGACTTGCCCAAAATATTTTAGGTTTATGTGGTTTTAAACTACATGAACATAGATATTTGTCTGTAAATTTAACTGGTGTTCCACTTTGTTCTGAACACCAGAAAACAAAGAAAATATTTATTATTGTATTTCTGAATTGCTTGATGCTACATCTGCAAAAGGTGATTTGCAAAAGGTTCTTGTTTTGGAAACATGTCCATCGTTTTCCTGGTCCTGTAAGAAGCTTAATTTTCATAGCAACTAATTGTAGAAGCAGCTGGGATGAGGGCTCGTTCTTAATTCTCCTTCACTCATGAACTTTTCTAAGTCTTTCTGATTAATATGATACAAAATAGATATCACAATAAGAAATGTATCTTAATATTCTGATTCCAAGAAAATATTACACATTATACCTGAGCTTTATACCTCTGATGTCCAGCGTATTAATTCCCATTACATGCTCTTTAAAAATTCTCTGCTGCAATATTTGTTTCATGATATAATTTCACTAACTTTCAACTTTCATCTGCTATATACATTTTACCTTTTCCAAAATTTTCTTTTTTATTTTTCTGGCTCTCTACAATGGATCTGTAATTTTTTATCAGTGGTACTTGGCTATTATCTTAAAAGACAGAACAATATTCCTTTGAGAGAAACCATGCTTGAATAGGTCCCTCTCAGCTATTCTGTTTGAGGGAGAGACAAAATTTTATCTTTAAGAAAGAAAACTGGCAAGCATAGATCATCAGTATTGGTCAGCCAGCTTCAACAAGGTTCAAAGCATAGTTTTCTTGCAAGATTTGCTGTTGAATTTCCTCCTTTTGTCAGTGCTTTAAAAGACTGTCATGTTGCCATTTGAGCCCACGTAAAGAGCTTTTAATGTACAAAATCATCTTAACTACTCCTTTAATACTTGTAAGAAGAGACCTTGGATGTTGAGGATTGTCTTTTAGGATAAAGGGGAGGAAGAAGAAGAGGAGGAGCCCTCTTTACTTGCTGCACCAAAGTGGAAAGCAACAGAAATCACTAAATTAATACACTGGATGCCCAACGTGGAAAAAGCACCTTCTCCCAGTGAAGGCCCCCCAGCAGCAGCAGGAGAGACAGCAGCAGCAGATGAAGCAGTGGAAGAAACATCAGCAGACGAAAAAGACAAAATGCAAACAAATCCAGGTTTGTTCTGTTGGACATCTAGAAACCCTGTGTTTTGACTATCCTGTGAAACCATGTTTTTCAAATTTAATTACTGTGAGAGGGATTTTTTTCTCTCACATTTTTTACCCTACACTTAATATTGGGGATTTCTAGGCCTATCTGTGAATGTGACAGTATATATATGCATCTGTTCTATCTCACATAGCATAAGGTACAACTATCTTGGGAAGTCTGTGAATCATTTTAGTCTATGCCATCGCTTCTTATACAAACTTGATTATAAATTGTTGCAAAAATATGTATCGGTTTTCTCATGTGAGTAAAGTCTGAAGAGTTCGGTCAGTTATTAATTGTGGCATGATAACAATGATTGAGTGCAAATTTGTAAAAATAAATTTTCCTCAAAATTTCTAATTTCTCATATTTCAGTCATTGATGAATCTGCTGAACACAGGGATGATATGCCTTCTCTTCATGAAGTATCCAGTGAAGTTTTCAGCCCAGCAAAGGATGCAGAAGTAGAAGATGAGGAAATAAGGGAAGAAGAAAATGAAGAAGGAGAAGAGTACCAAGGTGAGGAATGATGGAGATGTGCTTCTTCTTCCTTGCTCAATCAGGTTTGGAAATGATGCATGTCAATTGGCTGCTGCTGGGAGGCCCATTCTCAGGCTAAAGAAAACACGGGAGCTCTACCTTTTGTCACAGGATAGAGCTCCTCTAAAGCTGTAAACTGGTTTTGAGTAGTCAAATTCATATATTTAACAGTGATATAAATGTACAGTGATAAAAGAGTACAAATCAGTGATACTGCAGTGCAGCACTACCTGTGCAATACAGAGCTGACAGTACTTGAAGAGCTGAGTTTAAAAGTGATCACATTTGCAAGCTTCCTTTTGTAAAAAACATGAGAGTAGACTGGGGAATTCAGGTATTTTTGAGAACATGATTTTTCTATCATGAATGGAACTGTATGTTCTTGTCCTCCCAAGTTAAATAAGAAATAAGTCTTAGGTATTGTTACACATTATGATTTGGAGACACAAAGGCTAGTATCTCATTGATTGTTCTTAAAAGGCCAAAAGCTTTGAAATTTGGATGCTCAGGTTTTCCTCCAGGCAGTTTGGAATCCTGTTTTTATAAAAAATTACAAAAAGGCAACATGAAAGGAAGCATCTGTGTTTACCCATACATAACTTATAAGCCTCCATTCCACTGTGTTTTTTTCATTTGTTAAATGTTAACATTTACAAACTTCTGATGTAGGAAAACATTAGATAAATTTCTCCATCTGTTGTCAACACATTTTATAATAAATCAGAGCAAAGCACTATCTATAGTGATCAGAAAGACTGTAAAAGAACCTTGAAAATTGCATAGAGGTACAACATAAACATTAAGGACAGGTCTTGGAATTCTGTTAATTTATTTGATCTAATTTTTCACTCATCACCTTTGAATGTAATCTCTTGCTTCAGCACAGACTAGCCAACAAGATGATCAGGTGTATAGGACTGACATCTTACAGGATCCCTCAGCTGATCCAGCAGAAATCAAAGCAGGGTTCCTGTGTAGCTCTGCTTTGGATCTGGCAAGAGTTCATTGAGCTTGATTTGTCTCAAAGTCTGCTGGACTCAAATGATTTTTTATTGAACTTGATTCTAACAGATCTTCTGGCCTACTACAGTAAAGTAGATCTGATATCCTCATTGTTTTTTTTATTAGTAGTAGTAGTAGTATTTTTTCAAGGGCAGCTTTCTGTGAAAATCCTCTAACTAGGAGATGTTCTTGAGCTATTCTGAGTTACATATGGACTGGCTGGCAGTCAGTGTGTGTGTACAGAGTCTGTCTGACAGCTAAGAAACAATTTATGTCAGTTAAGTTCAAAAATTGGCAGCAAAGGCCAGTAGGAAGGAAGACTGGGGTAGACAGTGATTCTGGAATTATGTTTTAAGCTACTAGAATTGCTTTCCAGAATTTTATTATAAAATTCATTTCAGTTTTCTGTTTGTTTTTTTTCAAACTTTGCCTCTACAGGAACTGCTGGTTTAGAAGATGAGGAGGAATCAGAGGAAGCAGAGTAATTGGATACAACTAAAGACAAATAAAGGCAGAAAAGGAAATTGCAGAGTAAATCATTGGTTAAGGTAAACCTACAACAATATTTTTATTTGTATCTTTGTTATTTTTTGAATAAACGTTTCTGTCACTGTTCTATCTGGAATATACCTCTCCAAAACTTTTACAATCCTAGAGTATGCCATCTCAGGACCACTTCATTCCATAGTGGCAGGCAGTTGTTGAATTCAATATGGGATGATTCTGGATCTATAAAGTTGAGTCCTCACACATTCATGGAATCAAAGTTTTAAAACATTTGGCATGATAGTTCTAAGGCAGAACATATATGCATCCAATAACTGACTGAACCACTTGTCCCTGTAGTAATTAGGTTGCTTTTGGTGACCTATGTTCATCTCTTCACAGGAAGACAGATTTTCAAACCTGATGAATACATCAGTATTGCCCAAAACTTCAGAACATCATATCCATCTTGGAAGTTAGTTAACATGCTCAAATATGGTCTTAGAATCTTTTATGCTGGAAGTGAACTCAAGAACTCCAGCTCTGTCTGTATCTACTATCACTGGACAACCAAGTATAGGGCCACATTACTTACTGTAAGCTGTTATCACTGTTCTCCAAGATACCAAGCTCAAATCTCTCCTTACCTGATTTGCAAACCTGTTGGCAGAGATACTGTTATTCCACTTTGTTAAATGGCTTCTGTACTTCCTTTTTCCTCCAAGACTGACCCACAATGATGGAAGCTGAAGCACTACCTTTAGCAACAGCCACATTATCAGCGGTTAATACCCAGGATTGATCTTCTCCTACTTGACCTCTTCCAATTGAGGATGAAGGAGATATCCTGTGGGTTCCTATGTCCTTTGCCAGAATCCTGTAGTTACTCTTATTTTGCTCCAGGTCTCCCTGAGTAGCATAATTGATATTCACACCAATGAGCAAACAAGGAGGTAATGGTCATTGGACAGCATGAGTTTCGGCCATACTTCTACAATACCCACAGTCTGGTCACTTGTCAAGCAGCAAACCTCCCATGACAGCATATCTGGTACACAGACAGGTGTCTCTATCCCCTACGGGAGAGGACCTCCAGCTTCTAACACCTGCTGTTTCTCTTTAGTGTTGATGCTTCATATGGGGCCAGTTAGCTTGGAAGCCTCCCTTTACATCCTCTGTTCCCCTCCCATGGCTATTGGGCCTCAATACCAACTCTCTACATCCAGGTCTGAGCAGCAATGGTGGAACATTTCTCCTGCTGCCAGAAGTTATGAACTTTAACAAGCTCAGGGGAGAATCCTTTCAACACTCCACCCAGTCCAGCCCCTAGACATCACCTTAACCTCACAAGTCAGGCTTTTGCTTCTAGAGAGACCCTGCTGATACCTCATTTGCCCTCCTTACTGATATACAGTCTCTACACCTCCTACAAGTCTTTTATGCAATAATGCAACATCTAAATCACTACACAGAGCCTCACCAAGGGACACCAACTCAGATTGTGGATACAACATCCCCCTGCCCAATCCAGGTCTAGACTGACACTACTATGCCAAGGATATGGACTTTCTCTTTTGGTGGCAGAGGTCAGGCCCAGCAGCTCATGATTGTTGGTGAGCACAGTCTCACACTGACTGGATGAAAGTTTCTGCCTTCACTCAGCACCCAAACAATACCTCCTCCTCAGCCCCCAAAAAACAAATCAAACAACTAAAAAAAAAAAAAAAAAAAAAAAAACCCAAAACAAAACAAAACAAAAAACCAAACACCAAACAATCCACCACCACACACAAAAATAACCAAAACAACAAAAAACTCCAACCATCAATCCCTAATGAGCAGGAACCTGTCACTCAGAAGAGAGCTACCAGGAGATTTCAGCTGAAGAAGGCCTCCAGAAGCTACCAGAATTGAATCAAATGACATCCTATAAATAATAAGTTAAAAGTAAAGAGCAAGGTAGAGCTGCACAAAATATTGTGAAAGCAGTATTTGTTACAGACATACATTTTACACTTCTTCAAGTGGAAAAAAAAAAAGCTGCTCTGAAACATTGTTTTCCTGATAATATATAAATGAAACCTTCTGTTTCATCTGTTTAATTGACTTTCTTATACTTCTGAGAATACTGGTATGAATGTTGATGGACTTGGAGTTTGAGGCAGAATGTTGCTGCCCTGCAGCAGTTTGCTTTCGAAGTAAGGTAACTGGTTTGGGCCTGATTAGGGTAAGAGATGTTGAGCTGGCATTGCTGAAACAGGACTTGAATTTTTTTATTCATAAATTTTCCTTTGGGGGAAAATAAAGGAAAACTTTTAACAAGTTCCTTTTCTCTACAACTCAACAACTCCAGCAAAGATATGCCAAGAAGTTTAAGCTAGTGATAAATATGGATTAAGATAAAATGGGGGTAGTGAGGTGAGTCACACGAAATAAATAGAGTTTATTACTTCTTCCCGAAATGTTTCTCCTATCAGAAATGTCACAGTGAGAAATTTCCCATGCAAACTTTTCCCCAATGCCTTACATGTGTTTTTTTATTTTTTTGGCAGTTTCTTCTCACATAATTGTGACTTCAGTAAGCACTTTTAGAGGTGATTGCCTTTTCCTCTTTTGGCTTTCTTTGGTGAAGAGAAGTGCAGTGTTATTACAGTAGTTTGATCAAAGCATACTTGGCTTAGTAATTTTTTATTTGTAATAAAAACTTACAAATCATTAGTTTACCAGCTGTTTACTCACTATATTTTACTGTAAATTTGAGAAACATCAACATAATGTATTTCCCAGTTCAATTCCATTTAAAGGTACTCTTCAGTTCAAGAAGAGTTAATTCTTGAAGGATTTAAGAAATTACCTTTTCCCCTCCAGCACCCAGTGCTGTACCCTTTATTAGTACGTTAGTGACCTCCAGTGGCAAAGCTGCGAAAAGTGCAAACTGTCTAGAATACAGCTAAAAACATCTGGAAGCCTCTATGGGTTAGAAAGGGCTCCTGAGAAGATGGTTTACTTCTTAGGGAAAACAATGCTTCTGTAGAAGAAGGCATTTCATTTCACTGTAACTTTCAAAAATACCGTAAGGATAATTTGTAAAGTCAGTAATTCCTTCATCCTTATTTTGGAGAGAAACACCTGACCAAAAGTTGGTGCACTGAGGTGTGCTAGTCCCTCTCATCCTTCTGCCTCTTCACTTTTGAGCAATGAAGAAAGACAACAGTAGTCATGTTTGAGACCTGAATAATATGCTGAGTATAAGAATCAGAAAACACAGTCATATTTCACTTGCAGAGCTGTCTCTTCCCCAGAGATAGGATTCTTTCCACAGTGAAGAAGGAAGCTCACCAAGAGAGCTCATTGCAGCTAAAGAAGGCACCTGGAGTTCTCAAGTTCATCTCATACCAAGAAAGTCTGGAGCACACGTACTTCCTGAAAGTGCAAATATTTTAAATTCCTTCAGAGAGATGCCTATTTTACATTCACAGCTGGGGAAACAAAACAAAACAAAAAAATGGTTTAATTGGAAGAGACCTTATGGACCATCTAGTTCCAAACTCCTGCCATGGGCAGGGACATCTTCCACCAGATCAGACTGCCAAGAACTCGTTCAACCTGACCTTGAGCAATGCCAGTGATGGGACATCCACAGTTTCTCTGGGCAGCCTGTGCCTGCACCTCATAAGGAATTTCTTCCTTATGTCTAATCTTAATTTACTCCCTTTTGTTTTTAAACCATTATCCCTTGTTCTATTACTACATGCCTTTGAAAAAGATTTCTTTATCTTTTTCTTATGATCTCCCCTTCAATTATTAAAAGGCTGCAACAATTTACCCACATATACACCACAAAAGGTGATGTCCTCTTGAAACAGTCCTTGGTAGCCTTCCCTATTCGGCCTGTAGGCTCAGCAAAGAGATTTCCTAAGAGACTTTAACAGGACATGTCTATAGAAAGGCAGTGCATACATTGCTGTGTTAACTCTTACACTCACCAAGAACACTAGAGTGCTTTGCAGGTAACAGCTAAAGGTCCATAAGTTGTAGTCACATTAGTACCAAGCTGTTCCTGAGCTAACTGATGCTATTATTAACTAGAGTGAAAAAATGTCTGCATTGTTCTGAGAGTGTTTGTCCATGTGTGGCACGGACACAAAGATCTCTGTGCAAATCACTACTAAGCCATATGGGCAGGTGAAGAGTGAAACTACAGCAAAGAAGATGGTGTTTTGCCTTTTAGCCCTGCAAAAGAACAGATAACTAGAGAATCTGCAATTTTATTTGTAAGTACATTTGTTATTCTTCCATCCAGAATACATGGTATGGCTCCATTCATGAAGGAGAGCAATTGTTTATGATGCATTTGCCAACCTACAAAATCACAAATTCACTGGCAGAGGCATTTACATATGACAGAGACATATTTACATATGACTCTTCAGAGGCTTTTAAAATAGCACAGTTACTTTCAAGTACTGTACAATTTCTGAGCCTCCCTCAAGCACAGTGATGCAGTAGGTGATATTAAATTGAACACCGCTGTGTAAATTAACAACTTTTGACACAAGTTCTGTGTGATCATAAAGCCCCATTTCTTAAATACATTTGGCTTGCTATTTTTTTTCAAAAAGACCAATGCTTCAGAAAGCTTCTTTTGAGTAAGCTGGTACTTTTAATAAGTTGGTACTGCTAATAGGTTATACTTCGTGTTTTATATTGCATTGTATTATTTATTCAGTGTTCAAGCCCACAGGTAACAAGAGAAACCTAGCAGACACCTGAGAAGCAATGTTTTAGCAACTAAAAAAGTTAGGGTAAAATGAGCTCCAAAAGACAGAAATAAAGTCATTATATTTTAAATGTATTCTGTCAAAATTGTATTGGTGAATTTACATAAACAAAGCCGCAACATAAAATCCTGCAGTGGATTAGAAAATACTAGTATGTTACCAGCATCTCTATTTGCTTTTCCCCTCCAGCAAAATATGAGCACCAGTGTGCTTCAGATTTAAGCTCTTGTTCTCCAGATATTTAATTACATAAGTAGTTCCATTAAGGAGGCACCTTCAGGTTAGTCGGGTTGAATGTTTTTTGTCATCATGCTCCTATTTTTATTTTTTGTGAGAGGTAGGAGATGCTGCATCCTGAGTTTCCTTACCAAGAGTAAAGGAAGCTCAGGAAGATGCCAGCTAGAGGTTTCTCACAGGTTTTCTCCATGGGAGTACGCAGAGGCCACATCTACATAGGTATTCAGCACTGACTTTGTGCTATAAGACATTCCTAAGAACTACACCAGCTTTGGGGAAATGTTGGCACCGGGGTACCAGGCTTGTTTTCCAAACCCATCAGCCTCAGGACAGTAAAATTCTCATGAGCTCCTTCTGTTAGAAGTCCATAATATCTTTCCCCTCCAACTGAAAAGAGCATGGAGAAATAGCCACTAAGTTATTTATTTAACTTGAGAGTTTCTCATGGCAGTACAAAATGGTGTAGCATGGACCCATAAGTGATCCATAGGGCCCGACCTCTAAGATGAGCACCCATGAACCTACCAGTTATCTTTGCTCCCAGGCCAGTATGGAGAGAGTGCTCCTATGTTGCCCTCTCACAAAAGAGACTGGGGCTTTCTGGTCTTTACCACAGCTTTTAAATGCTTTCTCAGTTTGTCGTCTGAATTGGCCCGTTGCTTAACTGGGGTCACAGATTTGAAGGATTGTGTTAAATAGCAAACCTATCAAATGAACACAGACAACAATATTGATGGTTGATTCCCTTTTGGGAAGTACAGAAGCTTAAGTAAAAAGAGTGTGAATATCAAAAGCAGATTGGCAGGATCTGAAAGAGATCTGAGAACATCTATTTCAGCAGACATGGCCTTGCAGATGGATTAGTGGGTTTACTAACCTATGCTGTTCCAATCTTAAAGGCCCCTCCTAAGCCAAACCATTCTGTGATTCTATGATTCTGTGGACTGCAGAAATGGAAGAAGAACATTTGCTGCTGCCAGAAGATGCTAAAGCTACTTTTGAACATAGCAGACTACTGGGAATTTACTTCCCAAGCAAAGTCCAGTGCTCGGGGAAAGAGTGAGGCTGCAAGGCCCACTGGGAGTTTCCTCCACAAGACATGCAGGAAACAATAAGAGCTGCAAATCCAAGACTAGTTATCAGCTCCTCAAGCTTCACACAATAATTGCTTTGATGTTATGATTAAAAGCCAGAATATTGCTGAAGGATATAGACACTGAACACAGTCCTAACCAGATGTTAGAGTCAATTGGCCTCTACAGACCCTCTGTGAAAGGCATAAGATCTCCACAAAAAGCTGGACTGTAAAATTTGATGATTCACTAACTCCTTCATATGCACCAGAGAACAATATTCTGTTTGTTCAAAACTTTTATGTTGTTCCCAAATCCAAAGAGGCACGAACATTTTAATTTTTAATCATCCATTAAAAAAAAAAAAAGATCAAGAGCAGATCCACCAAAAACTGCTTCATACAATCTTTCCAAAAATTATCCTTATGCTCCAGAGTATTTTAGTAATAAATCCTCCAAGACAGTCAAAAATCTACCTGACAGCTTTAATCAATGCTTGATGACTTAAAATGGTGCAAAGGGAACAGAAATAACTACTGTTCTGAGTCAACAGATTTTCACATTTGCTTTGAACAAATATCAGTGCTGGCAAAGGGCTTCAGAAAAATCAGGACAGACACCACAGATTTGCTCTTCTGTTTTTCAGAAGAACTGGACTCAAGTGTCTCTTCAAGTTGTGTGCTTAAAATCGTGATTAAATGATGAATTTCTTTGTTACTGTCTTTTCAAAGAGTGACTAATCTAGTGTTCCTCATCCTTGTTAAAAAACAATAGGTGTCGCTTTGCCAGTTCTTGGGAAAATCCGCCGCGCATCCTTCAATCACACCATAAAGAGCCTATGTAGGCAGTAAGGCTGAGGTTTTCTTTTCCCACAAGGTGTCACCAGAGATTAACTTCACTGTACGTCTTTAACAAAATTTACATATTCAGTTTTTAAGATAAGCAAAGCATTCAGATCCTCTATGTGCTACTAGAATTATCTGTTAAAGTACACAACTTTGTAATGAAATAGATCCAACTAAAGAAAATTACAATAGGGTAATATTTAATTTTGAAGCTGCATGAAAAAAAATCAAGAAACCGTAAAGGGATTTTCCATTTCTTTTGCTTACGACAAAAAATGAGATGAAATGAGATGAAATGAGATGAAATGAAATGAAATGAAATGAAATGAAATGAAATAAAATAAAATAAAATAAAATAAAATAAAATAAAATAAAATAAA